CTAATTCAAAGTATCTAACCACAAGATCCTCAATTTTAAAATTCACTTCGCAGCTTGAATTCTTTTAGCTAGCAATCTACCGTACGCAGCAATATCTCAGATAAAACCGAAAGTAACAAACCCTAACTAATAAGCAGACACAAATTATCCTAATCATCGAGCTAACGAAAAAACCCTAGATTTCGGTAACGGTTTAGGTTTCTCGAAGCTTACAGAGACCAGAGTGAGAAGATTTCGAGAGTAAGGATCTCTGTTTTCGAAGCTACAGGTAGGCGCGAGAATATTGGTGAAATCTATCGAAGTAGTTTCACCGGCGACGGTGGAGAAAAAAGGCGGTGAGAGTCTCCGACGTTGATGAAGGAGAGGCGGTATAAAAAACCAAGTGTTTGTTGTTTATCAGATTTCAAATAAAAAGCGTGTGGTTTTCAAGTTTCACTTAAATCCATAAAAATCGCGTCGTTTTACTTATACAGATGCCAATAGAAACCTTTTCCAAAATTTAAAATAGAGCTGCACGCTATTTAACTCACATAGAAGCCAACTGTTTGTTGTTCTTCTTAATTTTAATTATATGGGCCAAACTGGACTAGATGGGCCTCGCAAGCCTTTAACAGTAATGAACAGAGGATAAATTGATGAATCGTAAGTGCAATACCGGCACGTGAGTACCACGCGATCGGTTTGGGATAATCTTTGTCTCTATGGAGATCCATCAGAGCAAGCCTTTGACATGATTCCTGGCTTGATCTCGGATTTCCCGATTTGGAAACTTCTCGATAACCTCTGATCCAAATGACGATATGAGAGCTCTTCTTGCAGTCTCCAAGTTGATCCCACGAGCTTGGAAATAGAAGAGCTGGTCTTCTTCGAGATCACTGATAGCAGCTCCATGCGAGCATTTTACATCGTCTGCAATGATCTGAAGATTCGGCTTTATGTTCACAGTGGCTCGGGGTTTCAGAAGGAGGCTCCGTGTTAGTTGTCCCGCGTTGGTCTGTTGAGCGAATCTGTATATTACCACAAAGAATGTAAACCGATGCTAAGCACACCAAACAAATGACCCGAAAATCATAACCAAACTGAAAAGCTTACCTGTTAACTCGGACATTGCCATCGAAAACAGCTTGACCAGAGGAATGAGCAACAATACACTTGTGAAGCTGTCGCGAAGAGCCTCGTGGATGGTCTAAGACAATTCTGCTATGAAGATCGAGAGTCTGCTCGTTGACACACATATGAAACGTGGTTAGCTCTGTGAGTGTATCAGGCCCAAGCTGCTGCACATGAACATTGTGCCTCCCCAATTTCCCACCAGTACTCACTTCCACAAGCTCATATTCACTCTCTGCCTCCTACAATGATCACCACAGAACAATTCAGCATAAAACATTCCGAAGCCATACCAAAACATCCTAAGCTATGAAAAAATCAAAACTCACATGAAGCTGAAACTAAACTATTCATCCTCATCAACAATTCAATCATAAAGGTTACAACTTTCTCCAACTCCAGCAGCAAAACTAATCTAAGACACTCTACTGAAACATTCAGCAATAAGATTCAAACACTAATATAAGCTATTAGCAATTTTAACTACAAGAGTATAACAAAACCAACCTCAAGTAAACTAAGATTTTCAATAGAATTTGTTTCTTCACTAAACCAATTTGTTGAGAATGAGCAAAGATGGAACCTGTCGGACGAAAGTCCACTTGACATGAGCAGAAGCCATGGACTCTTTCTGCAAATATGAATGCTTCAATTTCCCATTCTTTTGAACAACAACTTCCAAAACCGGATTCGTCCAATAAAACCCTTCTTCATCTTTACCAACAAATTCCTCCACTATACCAATCTCTCCTCCTTCCTCCACTAACACAAAACCCCTAGGATTCGATACCGGTAACCGTTTCGATTCCCGGTCACCAGTTTCACCAGAAAAGTACCTCAAATAGATTGGATTCTCCACCTTACACCCTTCAGGAACATAAATCACCATCAAATCCGGTGCTCCCATACCATTAATCGACCAAAACAAATCACCAGAATCGAAATTCCCTATGAATTCAGAAACCCGGTTCGTTAACTCATCCGGTAAACCAGAGAAGCTCCCAAAGTAAACCCCATCAGGCAAATCCGATGGACCAATCGTCAAATTCGACACGAACCCATCAATAATCACAGCGTTTGGGAACTGGGTTTCCGTCAGATTATCCAAAATTTCAGAATTTCGTTGATGGGTCGAAACGGGTTCGATTTGAGAAAATCGGATGAAAGATGTATCGGTGAATCGGAAAGGCTCGTCTTTTCGTGACGGCCATGGAGTAGATAAAAGAGTCTCAGCGGAAGAATCACGGATTCTTTGGAGAGGTAAAGAAGACGAAGAAGGAGAAGCTGAGAGAGAATCTTCGAGAGATTCAGCTAATTGAAGTACAAAAGGGTCAGAGAACGAAGCTTGTGCTCGTATAGAAACACTTGTAGAAGTTGTTCTTCTGTTTGATTTCAATTTTGGTTTAGAAGATAGATTTGGTATCAGTGATAAGCGACCGAGAACTGTGGCAGCCGCCATTAATGGATTCTCTTCGTCTCTTCTTCTCTCTCTCTCTCTTTGCTTTTCGCAGCGATCCGACAAGTACTTTCTCCAATAGAGTTTTTTTTTTTTTTTCCTTGTCTCTCTTCTTTTTCTGTTTCGTCTCTATTTTTTTTTTTATTTGTAATCTTGTTTAGTTTGGGCTAATGGGCTTGTATAGTTGTATGATAAGACTCATTTTAACTTACGACCGGCCTGATTATATCTATTTCCTTTTTTTTTTTTTTTATATCGATTACATAATTATTTCGAAAAATCTTTGAAAAGGAAAACAGAAACTTAAGGTTTTAGAAAAAAAAAATTATCAGTTCGTACTGAACCGCATCATATCACATATGTAAATAATTTTTGTTCACATTTTTATATTAATTATTGTGTTGTTTTTTTATTATTTCATCAACGCTTGTTAATATTTTAGGTTCTTTTTTTTTTTGTGAATTCTTGTTTTGCTTTAATGAAAAGATAACAATATAAACGTATGTGGTCATGTGGATTAGTTGAGTTAATGTTCTTATTTTTCTTTACACTATATGATTAATCGGATTAAGTGTGTGGATTTCTGTGTTTTTGAATAAAATATTTCCCTTGAATTAAATAATGGGTTCAATTTTCGTATTTTTGTCATTGTAGATAGAGATGTCCATTAGGTGAAGAAACTACCTTTACATCTAAGAACAATTTATGGAGGAAACAAAAAAAGAATAATTAATGTGAAACTACTAGTGTTTTGTCGTGTCCAAAAAGTGATAACGCGGTAGAAGAAATAATTTAACACTTTAAAGGTTTTAGTTAATGGAGATTTATTTGATCACATAGGCAATTGTTTTGCTTAATCAATGAAAAGTTGTTCATTAAATAGATTTTCCAAGTCACTCTGAGGTGGAAGGAAAGCTAATTGACTCGTGTTCGGAGTCATGTTCACATTTTCAGTTCAAGTGTTTATAAGTCAGTCATTATTGATAAATTGCAAAATATAAACTTAATTCTTTTCAAACACATCTACGTAATGAAACTAGTTTGTTAATATTATAGACAAGAATTCTACAACCTTTAAATTAACGAACTCTAGCGTTATTAATATACGTAATGTAAAACTGAAATTTAATTATTTATTCTTTTTGCCGGAAATAATTATTTAAAGTTGAGCACAAACTGATTATTCATTTCGAAAATAAGTAGACTAAAAACGGAAGGTTTTGTTTTTAATTGACATCGAGTCAACTACTGAACTACATAAAGCCATGAAGGCATGAAGCCTAAGCCATGAGCTATATTGGTACGGGGAAAAATGTCATTTAAATCGTCACTTTGCCATTTGTGGAGGTTTAAAACATGAACTTTGAGCTTGGTGCTTTTAATCCTCAATTTCTAGTTGACTTTCAATTTAATCTCTAACTTTCGTTGACGATGCCGATTGAGGCACGTCTTTAACTGGACAAACGGAGGATTAAGACGCTGTTATCTGTCCGTCTAACATATCTGTTAATAAGCTAAACGATGTCGTTTAATCAAATGAAAACCCCCAAATTCGATTAAGCTCGAACCCTAGAATACCAAATCGAAATTAGAAATACAAAGTCGAAGATTCTCTCTCGTTTTCTTCTCTAATCAAAACTTCAAGATAGCTATGTTGAGTTTTCGATGTAAAGATCCTTACACCTAACCCACACACACACTTTGAAGGCACTCCACGGGCAGCGAGTACTATCGATGTCTCGGAGCTAGAACTCATCGAAATCGAGACAACAGATCTTGAGGAATAAAGATGAGATCGAGATTTGAGAAGAAATCGAGATTAGAGAAGAAAACGAGAGAGAATCTTCGATTTTGTATTTCTAATTTCGGTTTGGTATTCTAGGGTTCGAGCTTAATCGAATTTGGGAGTTTTCATTTGATTAAACGACGTCGTTTCGCTTATTAACGGATATATTAGACGGACAGATAACAGCGTCTTAATCCTCCGTTTGTCAAGTTAAAGACGTGCCTCAATCGGCTTCGTCAACGAAAGTTAGAGATTAAATTGAAAGTCAACTAGAAATTGAGGATTAAAAGCACCAGACTCAAAGTTCATGCTTTAAACCTTCACAAATGGCAAAGTGACAACAAGGTGTTTGTAGACATAAATTACAGACGGCAAGATGTCTATATGTATTAAGTACAGACGGCAATAAGTTTTCAAGTCACTGAGTGTGAAAGCTTTTTGGTTCAGGTGGGCCATTGTTGTGGAATTTGTGGGACGTTCAGACAAGTAAGTAATCTTCGAACACTTTCGGTCTGAATTATTTTAAATGTAAAATACTAATATGAATAATTATAACACTAGCTAGTTTATTTAAGTTTGTGTTAATACTTTAATCAACCTTTAAGCCTTTTAATCTTCTGCTATATATCTATAATCCCTACCAAACGGTCCAAACTTACATTTTTTCCCTCTTCCTCTTAAGTTTCAGCATCAGCAACTTCCAAACTTGAATATTTTTTTCAAAGATTAAATCTGGTCTTCTTGTTTTGCTTGGTTTCTGTCTTTCTGATATCATATATACTCTGTTTTTCTACTGTTCCTTGAGCTTTAAGAAACAAAACAATAGGACTTAGGGTTTTTGTTTTGTGGAAGTTTCACTCTGTTTTCGACAAGAAAGTGAGTGAATCAAAGGGCATATAGTTCTGGAGTTTCAGAATTAGAATACGACTACGTAAGTCATTTAAAGAAATTATAGATATAGACGATGGTGGGATCCTATTTACCACCTGGTTTCAGATTTCATCCAACAGATGAAGAACTTGTTGGTTATTACCTGCACAGAAGAAACGAAGGTCTTCAGATCGAGCTCGAAATCATTCCATTAATGGATTTATACAAGTTTGATCCTTGGGAACTTCCAGGTTTGTTGCTTCTTGAAACTCTCTGACTGAAAAAAGATCAATTTTTTCTAATCTACAATATAAAAAATAATAAGATCTTGTTGATTACAGAGAAATCCTTCTTGCCGGATCGAGATATGGAATGGTTTTTCTTCTGTCATCGTGACAGAAAATACCAGAACGGATCTCGGATAAATAGAGCAACTAAATCTGGATACTGGAAAGCCACGGGCAAAGATCGAAACATCGTTTGTCACTCTTCTTCTTCTTCTTCCTCTGTCACCGGGTGCCGAAAAACCCTAGTTTTTTATATGGGTCGAGCCCCTTTTGGTGGTAGAACCGAGTGGGTAATGCATGAGTATCGCCTCTTCGACAACGATACTTCACAAGGATCACTAAACTTTAAGGTAACAACAGCATAAACCAAAAAGATGGAAAGAAAAGAAAAAAACTTGATTCATAGTTTACCATACCAATTGATCATTTTCATTTGGTTTTCTTCCGCTCTATAGGGAGACTTCGCGCTGTGTCGTGTGATAAAGAGGAATGAGCATACGCGTAAGAAATCTGAAACCAACTCACCAGAGGTTTCAGATGAGCTATTGAGCAACAATGTTAAGATATTTTGTCAAGCAAGTGACCTAGAAAAGGGTTCTTGTGATGCAAGTAACACACTCTGGTCTTCACCTGATTTCATCCTTGAATCATTTTTTCAGGTTTAACTAATTAAATCCAAACTCTGAGAAAGTCCCATTCGTTGATCAATGTCACTGTGTCTCAAACTTCATAACATTTTTTTTTCAGGGAAACTCACAATCACAAACAGAAGAAGATTCTGGTTCACAAGTATTTCCACTTCCTGAACTCGAAAATCCGCCAGAGGTTTTCGCAGATTTGAATTTCGACTGGGAAATGGATAATCCATTCATGTTTGATTATCATCCAGAAGCTCATATGAACAATGAAGTCATGAGCTATCACATTCTTGGCTAAAGAAAAACATTATTGTTCACTAATCTCAAAACCAAACACTCCAGTCTCCAGATGGATCAAGATCTAACTATAATCCCATTTATTTAATATATAGGTTTGTTTGTGTGTATAATCATATAGTGTAGTTGCATATTATGTAATTTGAAAGTACAAGATTCTCCACTATCAACTAGTAGTTAGAAATACACTTTTCAAAGACCTTTTAGGTCTCAAAAGTATGTATAATCAAGGTTGTATATCTACCTACAAATTACATAAATAAAAATGAATAATTGGATACTTTATTGGAATTTGATGAGATTGGTTTTGTGATTTAATACAAAGAAGCAATATAAGGGCTACAAAAGACCAATACATCATCAAGACTAACCTTATTTTCATCTCCAAAGATAGATTCCTTCCCATCTTTCCTCTTAGCATATGACAATCCCAATCTTGATTTAGCCATCCTCAAATCACCAATCCCCGAGTTCGTATCCGGACCCGCAAATCCGCCCATCACGGGAGCTAAAGGCGGTCCGATAAGAAGCCCATCAGCTCCAAATTGAGGCCCTCCACGTGCATAATCAAAAAGAGCCGCTCCACTTCCTCCAACCTTAGAAAGGACGATTGGGTCATCGCAATCGTCGAGCCAATAGAAGAGGAAAGCATCAAATGTATCGTAGTAATCATCGGTACTTCTATAGCCTTCTGGACTAAATCCACCAAACTTGAAAGACTTCTCTTTGGTGTAAGCTATGATAACGCATGGACCTTTGAAATCACAACGCTCGTGGAACTTTGTTGCACTAAACCCATCAATGCTTGCCTTGTAGCAACATTTCAATTCTCTTCCTAGTCAAAAAGAATGTTACAGAATTCGAAGAATTTAAGATAAGACATACTTCTTCACATGGATGGATTCTATGACTTGGATTGAGAAGAAGGGAATAAAATGTTTACCTTTTAAAAATGTTTTGTTTACCAATGAAAGAGAGAAAGGAATTTGGATGTCCTCGTGGTAGACCGGTTGCAGCGGCTGCCGGAGATTGTCTACTTTTTTGTCGGAGTTCCAATCAAATAGACCGTTGTAAGGACTTATTCTCTTCGAGGTCTTGAAGGTTACGGTGTGAATTGTGTTTGAGATGGCACACGAAGCCATTTTCTTGCAAATAACGGCCACACAACAAAACCCACAAGAAGGAAACTATGCAAAGCATTAATAATTGTGGTTTTTAAGAACTTGTGGTTGTCATGGTTTTGCTAACAAGTAACAAGTGTCCAATCCGGTTTAACCAAACAAAACCAGATCCAAAAACCAATTCTTCTCTTTGTCTATATACACAAAACCCAAACCAAAACCAAACCTCATAATTTTAACCAAACCAAACTATAGTCGATTTTTATTTGGTAAAGAGGCCTGTTTCCTCCAAATCGAATTCAAGATAATCCTTAATAAGATTAGCTCGAAAAGTTTTGATCACGATAATAAGTTATTTTACATCGTGCAAAGATCTTTTGTCGAAAAAAAATCAAATTTCCCGAGTTAAAAAGCTTTTGAGGAAGAAGCTAAACATTTATTTTTGTACTTACAAAGTAAAAAACCTGAAGTTGTGATGATTTCCTTGAAACCCAAAGAGAAGCTTTTTCGGCTTTTATGAGGTTGCTCCAAAGATACGGATTCGCTGCTGAACCAAACCTCGGCAACAAGGACAAGTGACTTTGCTTCCGCCATTGTTGCTCGCGAAGAAGCTATCACTGCAACTACCACACACAACTTGATGCGCACAAGGAAGAAACACCACAGAGACTTCATCTTTCATACAGATTATGCATTCTCGATCGTAGTTTGCTTCATTGTCATATGACCCTTCAAGCTTATCAAGTTCTTCAAGCAGTTTAGCAATGTTTTCTCCTTGAGATTTCTCGGGTTTCCAAGCGTTGTTGGATAAGTGGCTTGGGTCAGTATCTGAAGAGGCTTGGAGTCGAGAGAGTTCTTGCTCTAGTCTTTGGTGATCGTCTTTGTGTCTTTGGAAGTCTAGTTCGATTTTTAACCGTAGAGTCTCGAGCTTTCTCTTGTTGTGACCCTCAGCTGCTTCTTTTGAGCGTTGTTCTTCCTCCATTTGAGCCAGAGCCTCCTCCTTTGCTTTCTGCTCTTGTCTCCATTTCGCCTGCAAATAACATATGAACGGAAATATAAAAGAAGTCGATAGACTAAACATTCCATGTTTAATTGAAGTAAAGTAATTTCGATTATCAGTCATCCACCACAGTCCAAGCAAGCAAGCGAGCAAGCAAATCTAGAGCAATTTTTTGAACACAATGCGCAGCAACATAGATAATGTACCCGCAAAAAGGTAAAACGTCAAAAACAAAAAGAAAATATAGACCACCGTGTAGAGAGAAAAAAACTATTCCATGAAACTTATCAATAGATATAGCAAATCATTTGGCTGGGTTCTACAACTCAAAACTGATTCTCCAAGATGATATTCATATCAAATCCAGGTTCCATATACCCTAGCAAAAACATGTGGCAGACGCAAAGTCGCAGACTATACCTCTTGAATGATCTTTGAAGTTTAATGGCATACTACCATCTAAGACAGGACCAGCTTGGCAACTAGATGTGTGCCTCAAATGATAAGTGTGTAAATATTTTGAATCCTAAGTAAATGTACTTCCCACAATTCTCGAGTTAAAAGTAGTGAAGATCTAGAGAATTTTCACGGTATAAATGAATATAATATAACCCAACGTACCTCAATTTCCTTTTCATCCTGTGTGATCTGAGCTAAAGTCCTATAAAGGGCCTTAATATTTTCTTTTTCAGCTGCGATATCATCCTGCACCTTCAATTTCTGTTTCTCCCATGCCACAAGCTTCTTCAAGATTTTTTTCTCCTTCTTTGATGCATCCATGCACGCTTTAAGCGATTCTGATGCACTTAATTTGGATCCCTCCCGCTCTGCTCGAATTTCTGCATTTTGATTCTCAAGCTTTCTTACAATCGCATTGGCCCTATCGTTTTGACCACTAGCTTTTCTAAGTTCATTTTCCTTGTCGGATAATCTTTTCACAGTTGATTCTTCAACAGCTTGTTTCCCCTTTTTCAGCAGTTGGATTCCTTCTCTTTCGCTACTCAATGATTTAAGCTCGGCCAATTCCTCGCTGACCTTTTGAGCAGCTTGCATTGCCTTCTTCTGAGCCCAGTCTTTCCTTTCCTTTAGTTTCTTCTCGAGATCCTTAACCTGATGAAGCAGATTGACGATCACACAATCCTTATCATCCTTACCCACCGATTCCAAATTATCATCAAGGTTCAGATCACGAAATTTCTCCAACACCGAACTAACACTTTCTTCACTCCCTGACTTACGTGGCTGCTGCTCACAAGCCTCCACACGTGCAAGATCATTACAAGATAAGCTATCACCACTAGTTTCCGACTTTTTCTGCTTCATACTAGCACGATACCCAGCAGCAACCGCTGCAACATTCCGATTCAACAAGGATTTCATAGATGGCGAAAAATTAAACCTCTTCGGACAATCAATCTCTCTCTGCAGCTTTAACTCAGCACCGTTCATAGAAAACCCGTTACCAGAAAATTCAGGTCCTCCCCCATTCCCAAAATCCCAACCTCCATGGAATCGACACAATGCTGGTGCCATAAAACCAGCAATATCTAGTGTACCACTACCAACATCTTCTACATTGCTATCTTCCTTAGTACAACTAGACCTATTCGTTGGGACATCCATAGTACTTGCCCTACCAACATGGAGCTCACTCATTAACAAACACCACATTGCATCACCTTTACTCAAATTAGGCTTAACTTGTTGCAACAAGTAAATCATACCCGCAAGCGAATACTCCTCCAAATCTCTCAAATCCGTAAAACCAGTCTCCGAATGATCCTCACCGTTCCCGTTATTACTACCACCGCCACATCCACCTCCACCGCTACTGCTATTCAAATAAGATAATGAATTATTCACTATATTTGTCAAAACATCCAATTCACCATAACAGTGTCCAGTACTCAAAACCGCTTTAATCGCGACACGTTCCTCATAACCCAATTCGAGAAGCTTCGAAACAGCTTGATTATACAAAAACTCCAAATGTTTCAGCAAAATCTCTTCCAAATGCTCCTCTGTACAATAACCCCAAAGATTCTCCTCCAAATTCTCATTACCAGAATTCGAATTCACAGAACCAGAATCAGTAACACCTGGATGATAAACCAAGTTTTTGAGACTTGATTCAACAATTGATTGCGATAGAGCAATCTTCTCAATAAAACATAACGGTGGGTCGGATCTAAAAGCAGCGGTTCGGATCCTCCGGTTCGGTTTCACATGCTTCTCCCTCACAGTACAACCCATCTCTGAAAATCTGAAAGAGAGATTGAAACAGAGTCAGATAAAAATGAAAACTTTACCAAACAACAAACATGGTTTTGAGGAAATGGAATTAATTTAAACGAAAAATGAATGATTTGATATAAACAGAGATTCGATGATAGAGACGGAGGAGGAATACGAAGAACTCACTGATCGGTGGTGGCTGAATTGTCTCGGCTGAGAAGAAGATGAGAGTTTCGGCGAAAAAGGTTATGCGAGAGAGAGAGACTTTTGTTTCGTCGGTTTCTTCCATTTCTGGCGGCGCCAGAGAATATATTTATGGGCTTTGGGCCCATTACATGATACGGGTTTGTTTTGGCCCATATATACGAGATTGAACGACAGCGTTTTAATTGATATTATTTCCGGTATGGCTAGAAAATCCCGGTCTATTTGTTTGGTTTTTGCTCAGTGTTATCGGTTATATAGAAATTGAAAAAAATATATGTATGGTTCAGTTTGATTTGGTTTTGATTCGGTTTGGTTTTAGTCAGAAAATTTAACTTTATAATATATATAAATATAATGATTGAACTAATAATATTTATATCTATATATATATATATATATATATTTTTCTTTCTTATATATATTAACATCTATTGTATTAATGAATTAAAATGTACACTATGATAATATTTGCTATTTAGCTCATTTACTTTAGTTCAGTTACATTAAAGTCGGTTTCAAATTCGTTGATATAAACATTCAATTCAGTTTAGTTTATGTGATCCTTTCGTTGCTTATCTAATCTAGAAACCCTAATCTATGACTATGGATTTGAATTATTGTCGAAACTTTGTTTTGGCATGGCATGGGCTCTTAGATTTTGGTGATATACGTTTGGATGCGCAGTGGTACGTATAGGGATGTCAAAATGGTTAATTC